GGGGGACTGGAGGAGGCCGAGCTGGGGGGTGGCGTGAAGGGTGACAAGATCCCATCCCTGTCCTCATCCCACCAGGTCTGACTGCAAAGGGCTGGGCGAGCTGTATTAGCATAGCAGCCACAAACAGGATGTCTCCAGCAGGGCAGTTCTGGGCCCCCAGCCATGTCTCCTCTCACCACAAAGCTTGTCCACACAGTGGCCAAGGGAGTCTAACTGCAAGGCCAAAGGAAGGTGCTCACAGGTGGGGAGCAGTGCTGCAGGGGTGACTGCCTTGGGTGGTCCCAGGGGGCTCCTCCTCTCATGCCCGCATGCCAGCAGGCCATACCTAACCACACTGCCAGCCCCTGCTCCAGCTGCACTGAGCTGGAAGCCAGGCTGCTGCCGCAGGGTAGCACAAACATGGGCCGTGGCTCTTTTCCCCTCCGCAGCCCAATGGGTCCAGGTGGGGTCTGCACTGTCCCTGCGCGTGCCGCCAGCGCCTAGCCTGCAGCAGGGAAGGGGCCACACCCTCCACCCCAGTGCCCCAGCCCCTTCCCTGCTGTGCTCCCCAAGACATGTCTGCAGCCTCCGCTGACAACACGGAGGGTACGGCTCTAGAACCCAGCGCAGCTACTTTCAGGCTTGTAGCTGCCTCCTGTGAGCAGCCCAGGATCCCTGGTAGCTGTGAGCTTGCAAGCGGCTGCACTGGCCCCGCTTGTTGCTGGGTGGCTACACATGTGCCAAGCAGGAGGCGGGGAAGGGGCCGGGACTGTGCTGCCATGATCAGGCCCCCTCACAGCTCCCTGCCATCCACCCCTGGCACATCAACATCTTCAAACTCCAGGCTGCCAGGTTTTTGGCACTTGCCCCAAAAAATGTTGCTAATCCCTGGTCCAACCAATGAGTGGAGCTAAAGAAATGCTCAATTAAAACTTTCAAAATCAAATTCCTTTCAGTAACAGTTCCTAATTTAGACATTAAACTATGAGATGACACAATCAACTAGGGAAAGAATCTAAATTAACACAGTCATAACAAGATGTCCTCAACATAGGGTCAATGAAAAAATACTACAGTCCCTGCAGCATTCTAGTCTAAATCTTGTCTTTAAAATGGATAGTACTTGTGGAATACAAGACAGGAGAGAGAAAACAAAACCTAAAAAGCTTTAGCGTACACTCCATAGCACTTCATACCAAATCAGACTTACATCTGTCAAACTTTAAAAATTCGATGTACAACACTAAAATTTTAAAGTAAAGTAAAATCCATATTATAACTTCAATCTAACCCTGATACCCAGAAAGAGACTGAAGCACTTCAAGGAATTTATTTCTAAGCACACAGGAAATAAAGTGATAAGGAATAGCCAACAAAGGTTTGTCAAGATGAAATCCAGCTTAACCACCTTGATTTCATTCTATGACAAGGTGACTGGCTTTGTGGATGGAGGAAAGGCAGTAGTGTAGCAGAAAGCCCCCTTTTCCTCTTGCCTGCATTTGCTCTCCCTTCTTTGGATATATTTCTCTTTTTCTACCTTTCTTCCTTCCTCTTTCTTTCACTTTAAGATAAGGAATTGTGTTTTAAAATTTGTGTGTGCATTTTGTGTCTCCCCTTGTAGTTTGGTATTTTTATCTATTTGTGTGCCATGGCATTTGTAGCTTATATTTTATACTCCTCACCTTTCAACTTTCAACTAAATGTGTTTTAGTAAGTTATACATTGTAACAATGTTAACAAGGGCAGGAATCAAACTGTCCTTCTCTGTATCAGGCTGGCCCCTGAAAGAGCGAGTGAATCAGTGATTGAATGTGTAACAAGGTAGCACACAGCAATTAACACCTGGGAAGCTGCAGATCAACCAAGGGAAGAACTCAATAGAAGACAATGTAACAACCGGGAAATCTCTAAACGTCACTGATCAAAGGCTAGAAGCCCTGGCCTGAGTTAATCAACGCCAGAGACCAACTTTTGGGCTGAATATCTCCAGATCAACCGCTCCCAGAGCCCTATTCTAAATTCATCAACGGACTCCCAAACCTGCACGTACATGCGGACGAGCCCT